GCCGCCAGCTCTGCAAACCCCCCCACCCACCCTCCCCCTGCATACAGTGACAGCACGGGGCCGACAGGGCTGCCAGCTGGGCAGAGGGCTTCGAACAACAAAGAAGGAAAAACCAAACCAGACCTCCACCTCCATAGCTAATATCAAAGCCAACAAAAGGCCCATTTCCCAGTGTCTCGCTTCCCTCCCCGGTACAGCTCTTCCCCTTCCATCTTCTCCCCTCCTTCACGAGCGCACCTCTCCCAGTCTCCCTTCCCGCTGGAACAGGGCTGCCAGCTGGGCAGAGGGCTTCGAACAACAAAGAAGGAAAAACCAAACCAGACCTCCACCTCCATAGCTAATATCAAAGCCAACAAAAGGCCCATTTCCCAGTGTCTCGCTTCCCTCCCCGGTACAGCTCTTCCCCTTCCATCTTCTCCCCTCCTTCACGAGCGCACCTCTCCCAGTCTCCCTTCCCGCTGGAAGATGACGACACTCTAATTGCAAGGCCCCCCTCACCGCGAGGCGGCTCGACGCAGGACTTCGGGATGTGATTGTCTCCTGCCTTTGTGCAGGGTTAAGTGTGCAAACAGGCAGGGCTTGCATAAACACACTCGGGCAGAAGCTGGAAAGGTCAAAGCCACCCCCCATCTCCAGCGATGGGCATGTGTGCGCCTGCACCCGCTCTCAGCCAGCCCTGCGGTTACAGTTGACCCCCAAAAAGCCCCAATCCACTGACGGGCTGGTGCTGCCGATGCAGGATTGCCTTGAACAGGTCTCCTCTTAAAGCCCTCACTCCATCTTTTGAAAGAAATCCTCCCCTCACTGAATAAGCTGGATAGAGAGAGGGAGAGGGTAAAAAGGGAGGGCAGCTGGTAGCTGAGGGTCAGGGAAGCATCACAATTTAACATATGGCTCCCCAGGCACTCTCAGTAATTCGGTGCTTGGCCCCTCCAAAGAGCTCTCTTGCCTGCCCTCCCTCCCCCGAAGCCGCTCCTCGGTTCAGCGATGGACGGATGCCTCCATTTCAGATCACGCATCCGCAAGCAAAGAAAGGGTGATGGTGAAGGCAAAGCTCAGGCAGTGGGGAGCTCCAGATCCAAACCCCGCTTGCTCACAGACAAGCCCCTAGGTCCATCTCTTCCCTGCCCTCAGCTTGGCCGGAGGGGACCCCAACACCCCACAAAGCCACCCCAGCAGCTACCACTAGCATCTCCGTTTGGATACTCCGGCAACACACACGATGCGAGAGTTTTAAGCACCGCGCTCTGAGGTTTGTCACAGCCGTCCCCTGCAACACTAAGTTGGCTGCAGAAAGGTGGTACCAGGTTTTAGAAGCCGCACCAGAAAGCGCAAGTGTCGGTAGGTGCCACAGCCAGAATCCGGACTGAACTGTTTGCTGCCAGCAGATGGGTATTTTTAAGAGGGCTCCCTCCGCGCCGAGTTCAATCCCTCCCTCCTGAGCATAGCCGGGGAAGCACTCAGTCCCAGCAGGGAGAAGAGCCACCCAAGCTTGGGAGCGAAGCGGCATGCCAGCCCCTGGGATGGCAGCTTGGCCACCCTGGGAACCAGCTGCTTGCCTGGCCAGCACCCTACAGTGCACATCACAGCCTCGCTGGTGACAGCACCTCCAAAGGTATCTCGCTAGCAGCTACAAGCGATCCTCACAGCTGAGTAACGATGCTTTGTTCTTGCAGACCACCTCTGGTCTCAGCCCCCTTACAGAGTGCTCCCCTGCAGCATGTCCCCACTGCCACGCTTCCCAGCCCCTCCAGTATTCCCTGATTGGAAGGGACTCCCAATCCAAATCTTCTTGCCAGTCCCCAACCCGCCTCCCCCCGATGCGGAATGGGCTCCCCGAGGAGGACCACGCGGAGTCCCCCCCGAAGGTACTGCACTAAGGTTTTAAAATTTAATTATTAAATTAAAATTAATTTAATGATTTTCACACCCTACCTGTGACGGTCACCAGCATGGAGGCCACAAGCGGGCGGTTGTTGTCCAGCTTACGGCTCAGCCTCAGCTCCCCGCTCGATTGATTTACAATCAACAAGTGCAGTTCATTTCCCCGCTCAAAGGTGTAGAAGAGGCGGTCGGACACATCTGGGTCATAAGCTGGGACCTTCCCTATAACCCCCGAGGGGAAGGTGTTGGACTTATTAGACACATAGTTATTGAACAGGATCTGGAAGTTCTTGAGAACAGGGCTGTTGTCATTCTGGTCAATGAGTTTGATGTGGACCGTGGCTCTGCTGACCAGAGGGGCAGAGGTGGCCTGCACTACAATCACGTACTCAGGTTTTGTCTCATAATCCAGGTCTATCAAGGCTGTAAGCTCCCCAGAAAAGATGTCCATCTGGAATATCTCAGGGATGTTGCCTTCCACAATTTGGTACATGATCTGGGCATTGGGTCCCTCATCCGGGTCGACGGCTGTGATTTGGGCCACGACAGAGCCTACGATGCTGTTCTCCTTTACCAAGACCTCAAACTCTTCAGCGGGAAAGACAGGGGCGTTGTCATTCACATCCTGAATGGTAACCTGGATATGGACAGGAGTTCGCTGAGGAGGGATGCCCCTATCCACAGCGTACGCAGTCAGCTCGTAGACGGGAACGTTCTCACGGTCCAGCCTGCGGACAGTCCGAATGATCCCCGAGGTGGGCTCTATGGTGAAGTCTCCATCCCCATCCTCCCCGTTCTGGAAGGTGTACTGCACTCGCCCGTTGGTGTGGGCATCCCGATCAGTGGCAGAGATCTGGAGCACGCTGGTGAAGGGAGGTGCGTCCTCAGAGATCATGCCCTGGTAATGAGGGCTGACAAACTGCGGGGCATTGTCATTAACATCATTCACCATGATTTCAACGTAGGTGGTGTCCGCTTTCTGTGGGATCCCATTGTCCTTGGCAGTGATAGCCAACGTGTAAGTGACCTGGTCCTCATAGTCCAGTTCTGCCTGGAGAGTGATGGCCCCGGAGTCTGGATCAATGCGAAACTGAGGGACGTTGTCTTCTAGGTAGTATGTGATGCGGGCATTTTCCCCCACATCATCGTCTGTGGCACTGATCACCACCACGGTGCTGCCCACAGGCCGGTCCTCATTGATGCTCACAGAGTAGTGGGCACTCTGGAACACGGGCCGGTGCGTGTTGGCATCAGTGATGTTGATGTGAACGTGGCAGTTGTCACGCAGGGTGCGGTCAGAGGCCGTCACAGTGAGCACGTATCGCCTCTCCTGCTTGTAGTCCAGCGGCAGAGACAGAGTGATGAGCCCCATCCCACCTTGCGTGCTGATGGAAAAGCGGTTCCGCGTGTTACCTCCTGTGATCTGGTAGGTGATGGCACTGTTCACATCCCGGTCAATTGCCGTGACGCTGAGGACGCTGGTCCCCACGGCTGCGTCCTCATTCAGGCGGATGAAGTACTCCTTCTGGGTGAATTCAGGACGATTGTCGTTGACATCCATGACAGTAATGGTGACACTGGCAGAGGCAGATAAAGATGGAGAGCCATGGTCCCGAGCCTCTACCCCAAAAAAATAGTGCTCGACTGACTCCCGGTCTAAGGGCCCACTGACTGTGATCCACCCTGTGGCACTGTTCACCACAAAGGGTGTGTCAGCCGAGACCCCCGTCAGTTTGTACTCCAGGCGCGAGTTCTCACCGTAGTCTGCGTCCACAGCCTGGATGTGGATAACTGAGTGGCCGAGGGGAGCATTCTCTAGGACAGAGATTTGGAAAGGGGTGCTGACAAAGATGGGGGCATGGTCGTTGATGTCCACCACCTGGATGCTGGCCATGCCAGTGTTGTTAGAGAGGGGAGGGCGCCCCGCATCCTGAGCCCGGATCCTCAGGGCGTACTCCCTCTCCACCTCAAAATCCAGCGGGGCCACCACCTGTATCTCCCCAGTGACGCTGTCAATGGAGAACTGGCCCCGGCTGTTCCCGCTGATTATGTTGTAGTGGACCAGCGCGTTGTTGTCCTTGTCAAGGTCCGTGGCGGTGACACGCAGGATCTCAGTGTGGGGCCGTATGTCCTCCCTCACCTGGACGATGTAGCGCTTCTCGCTGAACTGAGGGGTGTTGTCGTTCTCATCAAGGACCGTGATGTAGACCTTGACCGTGGCAGAACGGGGCCCTGGCTCCCTCCCCTGGTCATTGGCCTCCACCACCAAGGAGTACCTCTCTATCTTCTCCCTGTCCACCGGCCCACTGGTGGTGATAAGGCCGGAGCGGGGGTCGATCTCGAAGACGGCGTGGGCGGCCCGCTCATTGACAAAGCGGTAGCGGATATTGGCATTGGGTGGGGAGTCAACGTCGGTGGCCCGCAGCTGCAGGATGGGGTATCCCTCCTCCACGTTCTCCCGGATGGTCTCCCGGTACTCGCCCTGCTCAAAGACCGGGTCGTGGTCGTTGCGGTCGGCCACGGCGATGGCCACCATGGTGGTGGCAGAGAGCCGGGGCGCCCCGTGGTCGGCGGCTGTCACGCGGAAGTAGTGCAGGTCCATGCTCTCGCGGTCAAGGGCCTGCGTGGTGGTGATGAGCCCGGCCCGCGGGTCGATGCTGAAGAGCTCCCGCGAGCGGCTGTTCATCAGGGCATCCATGGAGTACACCAGTCGCCCCGCCTCGCCCCCGTCGGGGTC